GGGTTGACGGTTGGACTCGATGATCTTAGAGGTCTTTTCCAACCTTAATGATTCTATGATTCTAAGATTTTGTTCTGATCAGGACAAGTGTTTTGTTGAAACATCATCATTTCAATTTATAATAGAGACGTTCTGACTTCACTATCAAAGACTATTTTGCCTTCAAAATGAAGCTTCAATAGAGTATTTTAACTGAATTCAAAATACTTCAACTTGTGAAGAATACTTTCATTCCAACTGAAGCTAAAACTATTTTTTTATATCCTAGAATCATTCTTAGAATGGAATTTCTACTTTTGTACTGAATCTATTTATAATAACGTTTTCACTGTTAATTATTCTACTGTTCCCTGTTTGTAACACCTACTAAAGGCACACTCAGCAACAGTGTAGTTATAAATATTATTGACTAAAATAATTTGAATAACAGAAATTAAGAAGATACCAGTCACTTTAGTACAAATTTCTTAAATATTGCATAACAAAGAGGCAAATTCACAAATAATTCTTTAGGCTACAATCCTGTAAATATCTGTACATTTGTTTAACTTTACAGACAAGTTGTCTTCCCACATATCAATGAGTGTTTGTAGGATATGAGATTTAAATACATAAGTATTCTGTGCGATCCTTTACTTCCCCCCCCCCTATTTTTCCCCTTTTTCCATGAGGTAATTCATGTCTTTTCCTGTTATTTATACAGCAGAATACAACACGAAACTGATTTACTAAATTAATCTATTCACAAGTTTAACATCAAGAGGAAGCCATCAATGGTAAACATAGCTCAGAAGTAACGCTTCCTAGTTAACCTGTGCACCCTCTGCTGGCTGGTGCTTACATAGGAAGAAGAAAAAAAAAAAAAAAGCTGTGTTGACTTTATGTATATATATACATGCACAGTGCACATACATCTAAGTCTCCAAATATATCTTTCAATCGCTTAAATTGTTTTTCAACCCTATTTTCTACAAAATACTGAACATGTAACTGTATTGCCCAACAAAAGATGATTTGTCTCAACACAAACCATGTTTTTCTTTTATTAAAGATGCTGAGAACAGAGAGAGAGCAACATGAATTTTACTACTATCTATAATTTACATTGAAGAACCTCGTTCATTTACATCCCTGCAAGACTCTGGATGTCCACGTGGACTTTGCTCAGGTGCAACCTGTCCTGTCAGCTCTGAAGTCACTGGCAATGTTGTAGATCCTGCTCTTCAGAGGAGCAACTGCAACAACCGTGTTAGTGTGTTTAGCTCACTTCATCCAAATAACTGCAAAGCACCAGAAAATCACAGGAATCTGTCTTTTGTTAGAGTATCAGCAAAGATTAAAGGTTCCACTCAGAGATCCTGAAGAACAGACAGTGAAACACATAAAAGGTCAGCAACTTCCACATTACCCCATTTGGGCGCCTGGCCTCTGGCAAGGAAAGGAAACGAGTTTTTCCACAGACTTCAGTTGCTCTGCTGCCAAGTAGCTGTTGATGATAGTGACAACTTTTGGGACGTAGCTCTAAAAATATAAAAATGAAGTGTCATAAATCTCAAGAAGTTGCCGTTGACCCTGGAGTTTTAAACAAATTCTTTAAAAT